TGCTCCCATTTCCCCTTGTCCTGTCATTGGACATCACTGAGAAGAGCCTGGCTCCTTCCTCCTGACACTCACCCTTTACATATTTATAAGCACATTCACATGCCTTATTTATAAAAATAATAATAATTTATAATAATCTATAATAATTTTTTATAATAAGGCATGTGAATGAAGCTTCTGAAGATAGGCAGTGATTCACGTGATCTCAGCTAATCCGCAGTGTGATTCTGTCAGCCACTGCCTTGCTATAGATGTAAGAAAATGATGATTGTGCTGTTAACACATTTAAAAACCCTTTTGGTCTGACTACTATGGTAATTTTTGAAAGCCTCACTGAGACCCAACGTAAAAATGCAAGCCCATTTCTTGCATCTGGTTTTGTGTAGGATTTCAAAATATATCTTTAGAACTTCAAAACCCTTTTTATAAATGTTTGCCAGTATTTTAAAACTGGTCTATGTATGCTGCCCTTTTGGCTTGACTTCCTTTGAGTGTTCATGCAGTGTTTTACAGGAATGAATGGGAAGCGAATAGACAGTGACTTTGGGAGTGCAGGAAAGCCAGCTCTGGGGGATGCTGTACCATGCTCTTGCAGTAAGTTTTGCCAGGTCCATGTAGCAGTGACTGCCTTTGGTGGGATATGGCAGGGGCTGTTGCTTCCTTCCATGGCCAGGGGCTCCCAGCTAAAGCTGGCTGAAATGCTTTGGGGGTGCACAACTGCTGCTCTCTAAACTCAGTAACTGCTGGGGGCAGAACCATGGTTCATTGAGAGGCCCAGGGCCTGTGGTTCAGGAGCAGAAATGATGCCATGTGGCCCAGCTGGACCATTAACCTGGCACAGCCGCTGCTGGACTCTGCAGGGAGTTCTTCATGACATGAAACTTTCCTGCAGCTTTGCAAAAGCCTGCTTTAATCATTGCCAAGAATGGACATAGGTAGGAAGTTGTAGTTTACTTGTGGACACTTCATGGGCGGAGACCACCCAATTTTCTCAGCTGAAATGGGATCGCTTTAGTGGTAATATTTTTAATTTGACTGCCAGGGTTGGAGCCTGGGCATCCCTGTGGAAAGCAGCTCATGTGGGCTTAGCAATAATTGGAGAATGTAATGGCTGTGTTACTCTCAAAATGGTGAACGGTTAGATGGAGAACTTCTAGTTCCACCATTGGTGTGACATTTTAGTATGGGACAGCTTTTGAGTTTAAGACATCTTCAGAGCTGGCAGTAAATTTTAAAATCTCAGGATCTAAACTAATCTCTGAGTTTTATTACTGGATAAGCTTGAAGTTCATTTGCATGTTTAGAATAATGTTATTGTCTGTTTTTATTGTAAAATGCTTTGAATTCACAAAGCTGAATGTAAATGAGCATTTTTACTAAAATTTTGTATGCAGTGATAGTATCAAAAGAATTTATCTTTTGTGGGAAAAAAAAGTTATTGATTTCATTTTAGACATTTCATCCTTTCATATTTATGGCCTGATAAATTTTCTTTTAAAGCATATAGTACAGTTTTTGGAGTGCCAAAAAGCACTTATACCCTCCTCTGATATTTCATTTTCATAAATCTGTGAAGCTAAACCTGTAAAGTCTCACTCCTGTGAAATGCTTAATTCCACACAGTCTATGTTTTAATTAAATCGGAATGCTAAGCAGAAAAAGAATTGGGTGTCTTGAATACGAATTAATAGGTTTTGGCCCATGGTCAATGTGTACTCTGCATGGCTGGAAGCAGCAGCTGCTTTTTAGTTACAGTGAACTTCATTCTGGCCAATGATTACAGAACTAATATTCGGACATTTCAGCAATTTTCAGCCTTATGCAAAGAGCAAACAGTGTTTGCTTCAGGTTGCTTGACCAACAAATACTGGTACAGTTGCCATGATATATGTGACCAGAAAATAAAAGCATAGCTGATGCTTTCTGAATGTTGTCTTCAGCACTGATGAGTGTTGTGTCATTCCTACAGGTACAATCACAGTATGATTCTGAATATGATTCTGAAATATGTTAAGTATAACATTTTTCTCTGAGCAATTTTCATTCTGTGAATGCACTTTCATGCAGACAGTGAAAGCCATTTAATGCATTCTTCTGCTCTTTCTATCAAAGATAAAAACTTATACGCGTTAGGTTGAAGCATTAACATTTTTCTCTACATCGGGCTCCTAAGGTAGAGTTGAGTATCCGTGTATTATGCCAAATTTTTAACTAACATAACTCTGTAAGTGCTACACGTTGGTTTGAGTGCAACGGCTTCAGTAGACATGCCCTGAGGATGTAGTTTGTTATACCTAACATAGAATTAACTTGTGCATCAGTGCAGTTGGAGCACATTAGAGAAGTTTATAAACTTGACATATGTTTATTTCACAGAACCTAGAATAACTCAATCTTGAGAAATGGTCTCAGAAACCACTTGGCTCAGTGTTATATGAGGGTATCACCTGCATCTGATTTCTTAAGCAAATGTTCTGCCTTAAAGGGATATGGGCCACGCAGGCAGAAAAGAGCAGTTGGTTGAGGGAATTAAGTAAAATGTACAGGAAAGCCAGAAGCATTATTTCAATCAACTTGAGCAGAGTTAGTGCCAAGATCTTGACTGTTTAAATCATTGCCAGCAACATCCATGGAAATATGTGGCTTGTTTGGTGTTTCCTTAAGCAAAATGTCTTAAGTTTTGACCCTGATCCATCTCCTGACTTTGATGCTTGTGGCTTGCTTGTTGAGAGATTTAGTGAGTGGAGAAAACCTATCCTTTCTGTTCCTCTCCATTTGCAGGAGCATCCTATCTACCTAAAGCTATGGTTTATTCAGTTCTGATTTAACCAGATACCTTCTTTCTGTATCACGTATCATGAGCACCACATTATCAAGAAAGAGCAAGAAAGTGGGGAGATTTAAGAAACTGTAACAGGGATTATCAAGGACAGGCCAGCATGTCTGATAGAAATCGTATGGTCCGAATAAGGTGCTCGGGCAATGATTAAAGGGCATTATGACAGCCAAGGAATATTTGAGAAGTGTGAAAAGGAAGCAAAGAAATGGAGTGTAGTACCTTCTGTACGCTAAGTTGTATTTTTAGAAGTGGATGACTGCAAGGGAAACCTGATAATGATGTGAGGAATGTGGCTCCCAAGGAGGGGAGGAAAAGCTCCTCACTTGGGAGTTTGGAAACTGCAGCAGGTAAAACGTTGGTGCCAGATAAAATGTACATCAAGAATAAGATCTCATGTTCAGGAGGGTGGTTGGGATCATCTGGCAGGTGTTTTCCTTCTCTGTCTCTTGTGCTGCTTCAGTTAGGGTTGAATACACCCTGGCAGCTGCATTGAAGCCCCTTGGATATGTAAGAGGGGTAAGATTTGTCTGCACGTGCTTGACTTTTCTGAGCTCCTTAAGATACAGTTCCACATTTGATGGTCTCATGTGAAAGAGAAGCTTTAGAATACTAATGCCTGATGTAAATAATTCATTTTTGTAAATGTTTTGCAAGCATACATCTTAAAACAGGCAATTTGTTCCTTTTGGAGTATTTAATTAGTATTAGTATTTCATTAGAAACAGTAAAGTGTTGATGAACAGCTGTAGTAATAAAATACTTATCAATTTGTAATTACAGTTGAAGAAATTTTCACTTAAGCTTACATGAATTCAGAAGAAGGTAGGGATAAATATTTTTAAAATGTCTAGAGTTAGGCTGCTACAGCAATAGTTTATTGCTTTGGAATATCAGCAGATTTGATGATCAGAAAACGTGTGATGCCCTAAAAAGAACCTAATTTTGAGTGATCTTTGGTTTTAATTCTAGTTGAAAAACCTTTAAAAATTAACAAGATGGCTTAGATACATTTGTCTATTTATCGGTCTTTCTTCCTGATTATTGATTTCCTATTTTTTTTTTAAAAAATCTGTGTGCAGTTACTTTTTAAAAAAAATTAGTCAGGTTATTTCTAGCGATTTGGACAAACTACAGTACAGGGTATAGAGCTGTTTATTTTCTACCTAAACCAAAACAGGAAAGTGACATAAATGTTTTGATACTGACCACATTTTACAAGCGTGAAGTTCTAACAAGTATGATGTATCTGTTTTCAGAAGAAAAAAATAGTCCAGGTTTCACAGTTGACTAGTACAAGCAGAAGTTAAAAGGTAATTAAGACTAATGGAAAAGCCCAGGAGCTTTATAGAAAAAAAATAGGGGATTATTAGGTAATTAAGACCTTTCTAAGATTTGGAAGCACTTTTTAGACATAATAGAGATTGATTCAGTGGTTAAAGTTCCATAGAAATGTTACCAAATATTACTAATTCTGTGGGATTGTTTAGCTTTTTTTTAATTGTATGAAGCAGAACCTTCTTCAGCAAGTGGTTTATTTAAATTCAGAGCACTTTCCCAGCAACAAGAAGTTTAGCATCAGTACAGCAGAATCAGGCTCTGTGGTTTGTGCCTGTAGGGCTCAGCAGGATCGACTCATTGCATTTTATAGAATTTAATAATAAAGGTTTCTTATTTATTGAGGTCCTTATTGATTTGAGTACTAATAATAGCATTGGAGTATAAGCAGTACTTTTAGATTCTGTTTTTCCATGTTATCATGCTTACTAGAGTTATTTAAAATAACTTTTTCAGATACATTATACCCAGGATTTTGACAACGTATTATTTAAACAACGTGTTCAATCTCAATATTTAGGAAAAAACCCCGTAATTATAGCAATTACAGAAGTAAATTTCAAATCTGCAGAGTTTCATTCTTATGATAAATATATTGAGAGTTTTGCTTATTATGTTTAAGCTACACATGTAAAATAACCTTGCTAAATTAAAGAGCAATTACTTGGTTTATCATTGTTTGCCTTTAAAATATCACCATCTTGAAAAAAAAGAGAAAGAACTTGTGGGGCAGGACTTTACACACTGACTTTTTGGAGGACTGTTGTTATGAATATCACCAGAGCTCAATGGATAATCAATTAGATCTATGCTTTCTTTGCAGCTCTTTCGAAACACTTTTTTCTCCGAGCCCCGCCATTCTACTCAGCGTGCTGCGGTGGGTCCTGTCACCACCCTGCATCCCCCACTGCTTTTCCAAGTAAGTTTTTATGCTTCATCAGTAATGCTTGAGTTATTCTGTAAACCAGAGCAGCAGGATTTAATGTGTTCTGGAAAACTAATTGGTGATGCAATGGCAGCAGCTAATTCCTTAGTAAAATCACAGCAATCCCATTCAGAGGGTTTCCAAAGATTTACCAAACTTAAGTACACTGAGCAATTGTGAGAGGTTTCTAATGGCATTGAGACACCCAAACAGAGCTAACCCAGGAAAACTCCTTGTTTTTGCCAGAAAAGATTCTTTAAAATCAGTAGCTCTTTTAAAAATCTGTCTCAATAAACGTTTGCAAATAGGAAAAGAAAAGAGCTGAAAGATCTTAAAAGGGATGCAGCATTTTAATGTGTCTTAGGGATAAATTATGATTCAGGAAGCCCTAGCATTATTTAAATAAAACAGTCATTCTTTTCATATCAGTCAAATGCATGCACATGTTTAATTTATTTTTCTTTTTTTTAATTATAATGTAAAAAGCTGAAGAAGTGAGTTGGAGAGAATTTTGGCCAGTGTACACTATATGTTCAAGATTAAGACATGGCACAGACTTCCATTTAATCCACATCTAAATTTAACCCTGATTATGAAGTTTGAGTGCCACAGTGTAAGAATGGGTATTCATGATTTTATGTGTTTATGGCTCAGGAATACAAACAGAAGAGGCATATCCTGGTCCTTCAAAGTTGAGAAAAAACACAAACTGCCTTGCAAATGCGAATGAAAATTGGAGCTTATGCCTGCTCTAGCCTATACTTTTTATCACAGTTGCATTCAATCCCTTCTTGACTACGTGCATGCATTTTATGAATGTTTCAGAAGGGCAGTTGCTAAGTTGAATGATTCTTGACAAGTGAGGCAGCAAATGCTGGCAGTTTAATGAGCTGCAAGTTTCTGAGCACCTCTTTAGGGGGCTGACACTTTCCCACAGAGCGTTTTACATGGCCCCGGCTCTCCCACAATGGCTGACAGCACCATGACCAATCACCACTTTCACTTTACTCATCCACACGCGACCTCACCACAATTTTTCACTGTGCAGATGAACTTTAGGAACCATTTCATATTGAAAAGGCCTGGGCAAGGGTCAGTTGCCCTTTTGTATGGCCATAAAGCAATACTCTATGTGCCAGTCTTTTCTCCTGTCTCACATTCCAAGAGATTTTCTGGACACCATTTAAAGCACTTGACTGAAAAATAAAGCAGTGAATGAAACTGACTTTTATAGACTCATTCTAGCTCATCTTCCCATATAACCCTGTCTACCTGAAAGGGGATTTAGTGGATGAGCTGAGTGTATACAGGGACTTGCTGAATACATAGGCCCATTATCAACTGCGGGGATTGTTTATTAACCAGAACTGATACACTACTGTTTTGGAAGTGACCTATTAATTGTCCATTTAACTAGAATGTATTGAATTCAAATGGAAAAATGGAAACCATGACTAAAGCTTTTACTTGCTCCTTCAAGGTGGTCTCTGCCATGAAGGCAAATGAAGATTGTTCCACAGATTAAGGGGACATTTATCACTATATATTAGGATACAAAGGAAAGACTTAAAAAAACCCAAAGCAAAACAAAAATCAAACCAGCAACATAGGACATAGTTGGTAACAAATTCAGATTTATGTCAGCAGAGCACGAAACCATTTGATGGTCATTCAGAGCGACAGGCTGCAAACTGACTTACTTAATTTTGATGGAGTTGTATGAATGACTGCCTATCCCTCGGTACTGAGAAATCCTTTAATCTGCAAACTGAAATTTAGTTTTTATGTGAACAGTCTCAATGCACTTTGGAATAGGGGGTATTCTTAAAAAATTCTCTAGGCTAGTCAACTGGGGGTGGCTTCATTATTCCAAACACGAGCTTCAAATTTTTTGACCCACTGGCTGTTTGCTAAATGCTTGTGAGTATTCTGCTCACCGTTACATTTTGTTTAGTTAGGCTTTTAAAATTAGTCAGATGCTGTGCTTTAGAGTGTATAGATTCTTCACTATTAAATTAGTCTAATACAGGTGCTAAACTGTATTCCCTACATACTACCTGTACGGGAATTAATCGGTGCCTTGAGGCTCTGGCAGGAGGTTTTTTCTTTGCTGATTGACTGTTAACGACCAGCCAGGCAAGACAAATTTTAAGAGGTCACATAATCTGGCATCCTCTGTCCTTGGCTGACAACTCCATTATGGCGCGGAGGGCAGGAGGCAAGAACCAGCCCTGTCACACCTCTTCTCTCGCTGGTGTCTCTGGTTCCACGATAGGGATGAGAGAAGGTACCAGCACTTCTGCTGCAAGACTGTACTATACTAAACTTGAGAATGGCTGATGATTCATCAGAAACTGCTGAAGAAAAGGTACCTAAATTCACCAAACTCCAGTGAAAAGGACAGAAAACATGCTTAAGGAAGAAGGGCCAGTGTTTACCCCCAGGTTCATGGGCAGGATGGGAGCTTGGGGTGGGAGTCATGAGGGGTCTGTGCACTCCTTGGAGAAATATGAACCCAGCTTGCCCTTGGCAGTAACCTCCATTGTGGCATTTTGACTTCTGTTCTGCAGATAGTTTATTTTGCTTTGGATGGAGTCTGACTGTGTCTCGCTGTGTCATAAATATCAGGACAGTAACCAGTAGGTTAGGATTTTTGTATCTGATCTCAAATATAATTTTGAAAATTGAAATCCGTCAGTATAAATTTAGACTTCTTTCTATCATAACATTTAAGTCATAATAATTACTTTTTGCCACAGGCTCTTTTGTGGGACAAAAGTAAAAATGGGTTCTTAAGGTGTAGAAAAATTCAAGAAAGGTCTGTCTAGCAGAATGCAGTGGTCCCTAAATCAGTAATGTTTGACAGTGGCAGTGTATTTTAGGAAAAGATCATTGTATACTTGCTGAGCTTCTAATATTCTTTCTCTATTGGTCACAGCTGGAGGCAGGATACAGGGTTAATGTATATAATATCAAACGAGTCACACATGCACCACGCAAGTATTTATTCAACTTTGCAAGACATACACTTATATACATTAGTTTATCAGGATTATACATACACAGTTCAACAATATCCTCAGTGTATGTGTGTTTGTTTCTCTGTGGGTGTTTAAAGATACACATACTTATGTGCATATATGTATAATATACAGAAGTTAAAATGTGATGTAGCCCCAAGGAACAGTTTGTGAAAGCTGCATCTGGATTTAATTAGTACTTTCAAGAGCACTGTATCTATTGAATAAATGTAGTAAATTCCCACCCCCTATTACAGCTGCCTAGAATAAATAGACCTTTTCATGAAAAAATATGTGATAATTTAGAGAATCTGCTTTGCATGCGGAATTTGCCATTGGCTTTCATACAAAAATGGTCAGATCCTTGACAGAGATTGCACAGCAGCACACCTTTGCAGCTGCTGTAACTATAACCAATCTTGGCAACCTAGGTCCACGCGCATGGGAAGGGGGACAACAGGAGGACATCTTGCACTCATAGAGTGTGGCTTGCATGCAATATAAACCAAAGCCACCTTCGTGCACAGCAGCACACCTTTGCAGCTGCTGTAACTATAACCAATCTTGGCAACCTAGGCCCACGCACATGGGAAGGGGGACAACAGGAGGACATCTTGCACTCATAGAGTGTGGCTTGCATGCAATATAAACCAAAGCCACCTTCGTGTTGTCCTCTCACAGAAAGATCGTTGGTGTTGGTGGCTGTATAGCCATGGCACAGGGTGCTGAATCCAAGGGTAGCTCTTTCCTGGCCTGCTTGAAACTGCCCTGTGCAATTATCACATCCAATGCTTGACGACAGGCCCTGTTCCAACTCATCTCTGGTGCTGCTCCCTGGGAGAGCATCTGGGAAGCTGGGAGTGCTGGAGGGGTACCAAGCCTCACCAGGGACTGCTCCCCGTACACCACATCCTTCTAGGGGAGAGGGAGCATGGGAAAGCACTATGGCTTTAGGCTTTATTGGGTGGGATGAAGGCAAGAGATCTGTCTGGATTTGGATTTTCTGTGCTCTTTGTGAGGCCAGTGAGCTAAGGGACAATGCAAACACTTCTACATCTCCACTGCAGCTGTTTACCCCAGTTTTGAGGCTGTTGTCCAGGGTAGGGTTCCCTCTAGGCATGGATCAAGGGGATGTGATTGGATTCGTTGAAAACTGCCCTCCCAGGGCTTGCTATGAGATGTCAAGGGATTAGAAACCAGGCTGAAAGGAGTAAGTTCAAGTACTCCCCAAATCCTGTAATAAAGAAATTGCTGTGGTTTCCAGAATAAGTGAATGGCCAGGGATTTTCTGAGAAATAGTTAACTCTGAAAGCCTTTCGTTAGTAAACAAAACTAAAGAAAGCGTATTTAGTTTCTTTGGATCAGTATTACAGACTGGTTTTATCTGGTTCTACATTTCACACAAAGAGAAAATAAACTCCTAGGAAAATATACAGCAGTTTACTGAGGAAAGATAACGTGTAAAGGAAAATATTTGAATTTTACAGTATCATGGGTTCTGTGGTAATGTTCCTCTATGAACTCATCTGATTTACTTTTTACCGTGTCAAGGGCAGACTTTTGACCACTGACAACACCTCTAGATCCAACTAAGGATTTAGTCCTTAATGAACATGACTGAAGCATTACGACACACTTGTAACACCAACAAATCAAAAGTGGGACAGTAGTCTGCTAGCATTAAAATGAACAGCTCTTAATATTTCTCCAATATGCGTTAGCTATTATTTGAATCTCTCATCCTTTTCCACTAGGAGAGGAAAGTGTCCTGCCTCTTCTGACCCAGGAGTCCAACTCAAAAGCCCGGAGAGGTATATTAAGAAGAGCTGTCTTTTCCGAAGACCAGAGGAAAGCTTTGGAGAAAATGTTTCAGAAGCAGAAGTATATCAGTAAAACAGACAGGAAGAAACTGGCCATTAACCTGGGTCTAAAGGAGTCTCAGGTAAGGAATGACAAAACATCTGTGACTTGCTGCCTTTTTGAGGAAAAATCTTTAAAATGGCTTTGAAGGGGTGAAATTGAACAGCACAGAGGTGGCCCTGAACTCCTTCTCGGAGCAAAGACCTCAGTAAATCAATGGCAGTTTTAACTAAGGTATGCTTGAACAGGTTCCTAGTTTATTTTCTGAAGGTGTACATTCAAAAGTTGATTTCTCTATTTCCACACAAAGCAGGAGAAACATGACCTTTGCATTTTGTTTTCAACTCCCATTTTGCTGTCTGACAGAACCCCCTCAGGAGCTTTGGGGTAGGGAGCTATGCTCCATCCCGCATAGGCAGTGATCCAGGCAGAATACAGTAGAGCACAGGGCCCTCCTGCAGTCCTCTGACCACCCTTTGTGCTCGCAGATGAACAGGTAGTGACAGTGTAGTCAACAGCACTTGCTCTGGAACATTCTGCCCCAACAGACAGGCAACCATCCCTACAAAAAAAAACTTAGTTGCACAAAGAAGGAAATCCTGGAGGCTGAGGGAAACTGTAGAAGGAAAAATTTTGCAGGGTGACCTTCTAAAATGCTCCCACTAGACTGTCCTTTTTCCAGTCTAAGCCAAATAATGATCTGTTTGAGGTGGTGAAAGTTAAGGAGAGTATTTGGCTGGGCCGTAGTAAATAGTGATAGGAAAATCCTCAGATAATGTCAATCAGTGAGCTTCATTGGATCTACTGTAACAATGAATAAGGAGGGAATATGAAACTAAGGGGATGAAAAGAAATAAAACGTTGGGGCAAAGTTGTTTAAAGAATGATAATAAACTCTCATTGACTTGCAAACAGGTGAAAATTTGGTTTCAGAATCGAAGAATGAAATGGCGAAACTCCAAAGAAAAAGAAGTGCTTTCAAACAGGTGCCTCCAAGAAGAAGGTCTTCAGGAGAACTACCTCTCGCGGTCCACCATGAATTTTACCTCCCCGTGCCCATCTGTGTGGGAAGTGTCTCAGGAGCAGGCAAGTCCACGGTGGAGGGAGAATTGTCCAGGAAATTCGGAAAGACTGACTAGTACACAACCACCTCCAAGAGCAAATTCATCGCAGAGCCCACTGTATTTGTATCCTGACCAAGACACTGCAAATAAGGCAGTCACATCATCAGCCTAAGGAAATAGGGGCAGTTTGTAAATTGAGTGGAGAGCACAGGCTTCAAATGAGCAGTCTTCTAAGACTAACAATATTTGGACATTGTAAAGCTAACCAGTTTATGCCGCATAAATTTTGCTAAAGTCTAACACCATTAAAATGACCAACAACTAATGATTTAAGAAGTATTCTTCAATACTCAGTCTTTTCTTGTGTCTTTTCCAGTCTTGTACTGACCTTAAAAGTGAAATAGGAACTGATGGTAAGTAAAATGAAGTGAAGAGCATGAAGCTGAAGTTGTGCTCTGATTTATACATCTGCGCTGTATATGATATTCATTAAAAACTTACTGATAGAGAATCACTTTTATCTCTCATTGCACTCAGACCAATTGATTTCTTTTGTGCACAAGATAAGAGTAACCCTTTTTCCCTCAAGATAGTAAGTTGTTTTGGGTTCCTTATGAAATTCACTAGATGACACAATAGGTTCATATTAGACAAACATGAGCATTTTTAGTATATTTTCTCTATCTGTCCTCACCTGTATCGGTATGTGGTTAGTTTTAAATAGCATGGTCACAGGTCAGCTGCTAACCCCAGTAAAGATACTAAAAGACAACCAACCAACCCTATAAAATATTCCATGTTTAGGTCGCTTTGATTTGAATGCATACTGAGGAACGCAATTTGCTAGCTCCTGTCTTTTCTCCTGTGGATGAACCCTCCAGCATTCTTAACGCTGAATTTCAGTGGCTTTTGCCAGATTGTTAGTGCCATCTCTTGTAGGCTCTTCTGTATTTCAAAGCTGTGATGGCAGTATGCAAAATTGTAGCCCAAATGCACTAAGCAACACAACTATAATTGGAAAAACTGTCTCTAAAGCCATGTCAGAGAAGTATTTAAGGAGATGGCAAACCGTAGTAGCCTTATTCCTATTTAAACTTGTGCCAATAAGTACACGTTAGCATATGTCTGTATCAAAGACAGGACAGCATTCTGTGTAATACAAGCAGCCTTAAATAATATTATTAAAACTGCTTTACTTAAAATGATTTGCTTCATCCACTTTAAGGAAATCACTCTATGAATTCAAGTATCATTTTTTGTTTATTTGCAAGGTTTTATAGCTCAAAATGGGAGCATAACTTTTTCTTTCCTCTGTCATACGCTGATGAATGCATCTGTTGAGAATTAAGACTAAAGATACTTTATGTTACAGGCAAAACCTTTTGGAGAACATTGTGGTTTTATAGAGATCATTTTTGGCAGATGGATACATTTTATAGTCAAGAGATGATTATGATAATCTAGTCTGGCTTTCCTCATCGTGCATGCCATGAATGTTTCTAATTATTCTTGCCTTGAGCTCCAAAGCTTTTTGAACCGTAGTGGATGCCTTTCAAAAAGCGATACACTTGTAATTCATCCTTTCGCCTTTTGGTGGATGATCTACTATTCCCTTTGTTACATTATATTATCTGGGAGGTGAAGCTTAGATACATTTGAAGCTGATTTCACTACATCTGAGTGAAATCTCACTGCTGAGATTGCAGTGATAAAGCTTGGATCATAAACGTTATGCATGATCAGGGGAGTTTTGTATCACGCCTTGCGCACGTCCTGCCTTCTAAATGGTCAACTGTGCAGTCCTAGTCTTGCACTATATGTCATTCTTTGCATGTGATTTCCTACACTTGTTTTAAAGAAAAAAAATTACAGAAAAATTTAAGAAGTCATCTCTTCCTGTGATTACAAACCCTCATTAGTGTAAGCTGCCTAGATACCTCAGAAGGCACTTGAACACATTTAGTATGCCATGTGTTATATGCTATTCACTAACGTGAGACGTTTATTCCTATCTTGCAGCTGAAATCCCAGAACCAACTCAGTCTGCCTAAAACCTTTAGGGATGGACAGACAGATTGCATACACATGGGGATGAATTTACTGTCCAATTGTCCTGTTGAAGTCATAGTCCTGCCCTAACTCCTACTTGAAGGACCAGCAAGTGCTGGTGGCCCAGATTCTTCTGAAATGGCATTTGCTACTGCCTGCCCACAATGAAAGGCATATAGATATTTCCAAATTACCATTAGATGATCAAGTGGAGGTACATGTGTGGCAGTATTCATCAGTGCTTCCTGTTTTGGAGGAAATCAGTGTATGGTGGAGCTGATTTGGGGTTTTCCCATCTCAGCTTTTGGGGGAAGGGAGTCTCCACAACTGCTCATATTCTTTTATTGCAAATCAGTTGAGCATCCGTGTTAGAAGCAACACTTCTGGAGAGGGGAGATGGGATTCAGAGTGCTCCCTGGAAATTTGTTTACGTTGATGGTGTTGCAAGCACTGAACGTGAACTGCTGTCAAAACTCAGAGCTGATGTGCTGTACAGAATTCATCTGAAGGATGTTTCACTGAGGCAAAGCTCAAGAAATACTCATGCAGATTTAGTTTCAATTATAATGTTATACCTGTTTTAAATTGAGCAAGTTCTGGTTTCACTGTAGCCTATTAAAACTTACACAGTTTCACGGCTCTCCAAATCTCTTAACTCCTGCTACCAGTATTCTTATTCCACATATAAAGAATAAAGTTTCAATATGCCAGATAAAACATTCTTTACCTAAAAATGCTGATCAAGCATTCTTAAAATCCTAAAAGGATACATGTGAATTTTGAATTTTTCCTAAAATAGTCTGGTTCGGTTTGTCAAAAATGGATTCAGACCCATGACACAGACAGCCTCTATTCTTCTCATTTTAAGCTATTTAAAGGAGAATTTCCCCTTCAGTCTATACTGTGAAAACTTGGTAAATGAGAAGCAGCACCCCGTATGAATACAAAAATATGGTATATTTACAGGATCAAGTAGTAAGGATTCATTTTCTTCAAATAATGTATGCACACTAGATATAAAATAACAAAGCACAAGTTATAGGCAAAATCCCTAGCAGGTGTTTGGAGTGCTTCAGGACAGGGAAACTGCAGAGGTGTAAGCTGTAGAATGCACCTGGTATTAGGGAGTGACATGATAGATACCCAGGCCATCTCACAGTTAAAACCAGCAACGTATCACTGACTTTGAGTACATGACTTGATGGATGATCTTGCAGCATGGTTGTGGGGTAACTATGTGAGGTATTTCCTATGTGTGGCATTTTGAGTCTATGGTTCCAGGCTGTAGAATATTAAGAAGGACATCTGTTGGGATCCTGGGGCTGGGCAGAGTTCAGGTACCTCAAATTCCAACCCATAATTCAAAAAACTCAGCTCTTCAGAGGTCATTAACAATGCAGATACTTGTACTCACTGGGCACCCCTCTGTTTAGTCTGGCAACTCATCAATGCTGAAGTAATGCAGAATGCAGCAGGGGAAGGGAGAAAGCGCCGAGGCTCAGTGCTCGCTTTGTTACCTGAGCTGCAAACTCTGGTGCCCCCAGGCTGTGCTGCTGACACAAGGCTCTGGCTGCACAACCCAGCAGCCTCAGGAGAGGCTTTTCTCACCCCACCTATTGGAGATCCTCCAGACTGCTCTGAATGCAAGTCTTGAAATTTTGTTCTTAAGGTCAGGCACTCCAAGGAGCTTCATTGATACCTAGCAAGAAGGTGCTGATTTCCATTTCTAGTTCTGCCTGTAGCTTTGGCTGTTCATCTTTTTAAAAGTATCACAAATGATGCAGGTTATGGCAGTCCACATCATACATTTTATTATGTGCAAACAACTGTGACACTGTGAACAGGAGAGGCCAGCTGGCTCCTCCACAGACCTCATACAACCTTGCTAAAGGGTGGATTTGCTGACCACACCTGTGTCAGCACTTACACTTTGGTTGCACAGATTTATAACATAAAATAATTTTCTAAAAGTTCTCTTGTTTTTATTGATTCTTTGCCAAACAGGAATTAACTGTTATGATCTGCTCTGAAGAACAGGACTGCTTTAAGGCACAACACTGCATTACTGACTTCAGTGTCAGAACAATAGCGCAATGGTCAAATGTCACCCTTGAGCTGCAGTAATACATCAGATTTGTTTTATCTGCTGTGATTTACTAGTACTGGGTTTTAAACACCAGTTGCCATCACTGTAGCCACACAGCTCCTCTGACGAATGTATGTTCCTCAGTCAAAAGACTGACATGAATTAAGTGCGTTCACATGCTTCAGCACCCTCTTACCAACAAGGCTGTTACTGATTTTCACAAACTAGAAAGGAAGACAAACCAATTTCAAGCAAGTTAGCTGTAAATTCAGTGCCCAAAGTCCCAGAGAGAAATTAGGTCCCAATTAATTTGAGACTTAGGTTTGGATCATGGGGAGACCAAAAGGCCCCTGCAGAGAAAGGTTCACAGTGGACAGAATTGCCACTGACTGTGGAAGTCTTCAGTGACTGTGTGCCTGATGACTGCTGCTGTGTAAGATAAATGGAGGTAAGTAAATCTGGATCTGAGATGCTCCTCATGCAGGCTTGCACCTAAATTAGCTACCGGAAAACAGCAACTCCTTGTTTTCCTATGGATACTGGTGGTATTTCTAAGCAATGCAGCTGGGCATGGTGGATGGGGGTATCACAAGGAACATCTCAACAGTGAACCTCCAGTACCCACGCAAACGCACAGACATCTTGGCTTTTAAAAACATCCAGCCTTTGAAGAAGAATTCTGTTTTTCCAAGTAATTTTTTCTTTCCATGTCAATATTTAAATGTGATATGAGGTAGCTGAAAGTTAATGCATATCATTTCCATTTGTTTCTGCTTTACTGTAATACGGTTTTAGATAGGAGTTAAACTACAAGTCTCTCTTGTGACATCTGTCACTTATCTTTCATGCAAACATCAGCACATAACAGATTCTGCCTAAGTTTAAGATATGCTATCAAAGCCATTTAGCACGTTATGAAAGAAACAAAATGGATTTTCAGTCAGTGAGTGTCTCTGTCCTTCATCATCCTGGAAAAAACAGAAAAGTTTATGACAAGGAAATCTAACAAAACCAGCTTCTAATAATTGTAAAAAATGAACTGGACTATACAAGAATGTCAATACTCTGGGGATATCCTGCAGCATTTCATGGAATAATGTCTAAAGAACAATGGGGATATTTTTCATTCTTAAATTTGCTTGGCTGACAAGGAAAGTTAATCGAGACAGCTTGTTCCACAAACTGAATTCACACCATAGGTAATTACTCCATTACCTGTAACATACATAGTTACAGGTAGCTGCACATGAGCCCAGCACTTAACCGGAAGCAAAGACTGATTTTCTGATTTTCCATTACTTTGCAAAATTGTTTCTCTTAATATCCTCAGATGCAAATGGTGCATTCTTAAACACCAAAGCATTTTATTGTAGTGCTCAATTTTACATTTTCTAATATTCCTAAGTAGTTTCACTGCTGTCTTGGAGAGAAATCTTGCAGGAGATGCAGCAGTCCTCTGTGTAAAAAGCAACCATCACTGGTATTTCTGGCATCAGTGGCCACAGAGAAAAACATGCCCTTTTCAGCCAACCACTTGGTTGTTCTCTCAGCCAAAAGAGGAAGCGAGGCGATGTCGGCAATATAGGAAGGCTTTTGTTTTACCAACTTCAGGCAAAGGCAAATCTGGAAACCTAACACTAATGAGTATGAACCACTGTGGGCAGTACTGCGGTGCGGTGGTGTTCTTCCTGTGGCACCTGCTTCCTCATTTCCTCTATTTTTGCGTTTCTATACAGCAAAACATTCCCAGGGTTTTGTTTTTTGAAGGAAATTGGAATTATCTTTATGATCTGCACCACCTACACCATGTTTGGCACCTGATCTTCACCTGCAACCCCTGGGCTGACGTCCTAGCTGTCCAAGGTCCTGGTAGCCACGACGGCTGATTTCTGAGTCCTTGCGACATCCAGCCCCCCGCCCGCGGGGCCACGGCCACCACCCATCGGGCCACCGTTACCGTTCGCCCGTGGGGACCCGCGGCGCCCCCTTGCGGCCGCGTACGGTGCTGCGCGGCAGCCCGGCGGGACTGGGCTGGACGGGACGGGAGGGACAATGCCGGTGACGGAGGGAGCGTCCTTCCGTCAGCCTCCTTTGGCCCAGTGACCTCTCCGGTGTCTGTCACCCTTCCCTAACCCTCTCTGGTTGTGTCCTTTTCCTTTGCTTTGCTCTATTTGGAGCTGTGTTTTTTGGGTGTTTTTTCCTAGAAAAATTTGCACATGAATGCTGCTATTTCTTTACATATTTTTTACTGTCTTACTGCTTAAGGAATTGTAGCTGGTAACTTCTCCAGGGCAGGCACTGTATAATCCATCATATTTCTACCATACTTGGTACAGCAGGAACCAGGTCTGAGTTGTGAACACTCACAGCTTATAGCAAAGTACATCAGCTGTCTACTAGATAGTAGATATCTGAGGATACCAGCAGTTATGGAGATGTAACTGCAAAGGTTGTTCTCCTGTTCTGCATAAATGTTTCTTTCAGATGTTTTCCTGCTG